TCTCTCTCTCTCTCGCGCGCTCTCTCTCTCTCGCGCGCTCTTTTTCTGCCCCTCAAGCTGTGTCTTGCTTGTTTTTCCCAGCCATCCTGTGGTGTCGGGTCTTCGTTTTGAAGAGACAGCGCCCCGCGTCAATTCACCTCCCGCTCTCCCCCTCCTCCCTCCTCCCCCTCTTTGCCCCTGCCCTCCGTATGCTTCTGTTTCGGCACACTCCTCACACGCTTCGTGGCCCCAAAGGGAGCTCCACCGAAGGCCCCAGTAGCTGCGCTCGCATGACACCACCGCACCCGTCCCGTGGCCCCACAATGGAGCTCCACCGAAGGGCGCCACTGGCTGCGCCCGCATGGCACCACCGCGCCCATTTCGGCACACCCCTCACACTGTTCGTGGCCCCGTGAGGAGCTCCACCGAAGGCCCCAGTGGCTGCGCCCGCATGACACCATCGCGCCCATTTCGGCACACCCCTCACACTGTTCGTGGCCCCATGAGGAGCTCCACCGAAGGCCCAAGTGGCTGCGCCCGCATGACACCATCGTGCCGATTTCGGCACACCCCTCACACTTTTCGTGGCCCCTATGAGGAGCTCCACCGAAGGCCCAAGTGTCTGCGCTCGCATGACACCACCGCACCCATGTAGGCACGCCCCTCGCGTTTCGTGGCCCCATAAGGAGCTTCACCGAAAGCCCCGATGGCTGCGCTCGTATGACAGCACCGCACCCGTGTAGGCACGCGCCCCTCGCGTTCCGTGGCCCCATAAGGAGCTTCACCGAAAGCCCCAGTGGCTGCGCTCGCATGACAGCACCGCACCTATTTCGGCACATCGGCACGTCCCTCACACGTTTCGTGGCCCAATGTTCCAGCGGCTGCGCTCGCATGGCACCACCGCACCCATGCCGGCACACCCCTCACACTTTTCGTGGCCCCAAAATGGAGCTCCACCGAAGGGCGCCACTGGCTGCGCTCGCATGTCACCACCGCACCCATTTGGGCACACCCTCACACGCTTCGTGGCTCGAAAGGGAGCTCCACCGAAGGCCCCAGTGGCTGCGCCCGCATGGCACCACCGCGCCCATTTCGGTGCATCCCTCACGCGTTTCGTGGCCCCATGAGGAGTTCCACCGAAGGCCCCAGTGGCTGCGCTCGCATGACACCACCGACCCCATGTTGGCACACCCCTCATACGTTTCGTGCCCCACTACGGAGCTTCACCGCAGACGATACCAACAACTGCGTTACCCACAATTGCATATGGTCGGGCCTTTCGCCCTGATGTTTCGTTTTAATCATTATCTCTCTCTCTCTTTCTGTTTCTTTTTTTATTCTCTCTTTCTCTTCCTCTCTCTCTCTCTATCTCTCTCCCTCACTCTCCTACTGCTTTTCTTCCGTTCCCGCTTCTCGTCTGTACGCCGCTCTTCCAACTTTCAAGGCTCAAGGCTGTTTGGCATCATACCCCATCGCAGACCACACCCCTGCGGCCGCGACCAGCCGCAAGCACTCGTGCCTCCGCGCGGCTCGACTCGCACGCACTCCGACTTTACATCGGTACCATTCCAACGTGTGCTGCTTTGCACGGGTGATTGCGGCGGGCCCGTGCTGGAAGCAGGGAGGGAGGGGGGGGGAAGGAGGGAGGAGCAGTACCAGCAGCACGTAGCAGTCACAGCAGCAGCAGCAGCGAGAAGGGATGAGGAGGAGCAACGGGGCGACGACGAGCGGTAGTGTGCCGCCGTGACCCCGAGGTGGTGGTGGCGGTGGCTGGGCTCTGGGCCGCAGGGCCCCATCCGCCAGGGCACCGCCTCGGCCCCCCGAGGCATCCCGGCCTCCGCCCCGCGGCGGCTACGGAGGCCGCGGGAGGCAGGCCGAGGGGCGCGTGCGACCGGTAGCGCGTCCTGGCCCCCTTGCGACCCCCCGTGCGTGATAGCAACGTCGATCCAGGGTGCGGCCGCAGCGCTTCCCTCCCCCCTTACTCTCCCCTGCTCCCCTCCCCCCTTACTCTCCCTTCCTCCCCTCCGCCCCTCCCCCTCGCCCCCCCCCTGGGAGGGGAGGAACCTCTTTCCCCTTCCCCTCCCACTCCCCCCCGCCTTCTCCTCCTTCCCTTCCTCCTCTCTCCTTTCTTCTGTTTCCACTCTCCTCCCCACGCATTTCACCTCCTGCCTCTTCTCTCCATCCTCTTCCCTCCTCCTGGCCTCCGAATGGTTCCAGGAGCCCGTGCAGGAAGACTTGTACCGCTACCCTCCCCCGGTGTCCCCCTGAGCTCCTCCATCGTTCCTCCTGCCCCCTGGTGAGCCCTTCCCTCCCGCCTCCTCCGTCTCCCCTCCCCCCTGCCATCCTCCTGGCTCTCTTTGGTCTTGCCGTCTTGCCCTTACCCGTCCCCCTCCAAGGGCGAGGCGTGAGGAAGGGTGACGGAAGAGCCAGGCAGGACGAGGGAGAAGGGATGGTGGGGGAGCGAGGATGGCGGAGGGAGGAAGGGGCGATGGCGGAGAGAAGATCGAGGAGGGACGGGAAAAGAGCGAGGCGGGCCCACTGCGGCACAAGACCCCGCAACGCGGCCCCACCCCCGCGTTGCATCGATACGTAGATCCACTGTCGTGACGGCGTCCTGTCCTGCGCTAGAACACAAAAGCGCGAGGCGCGTGCGCTGTCCTACTATACAAGTGGACGCACGTACGGTAGGTCCGTGTGGTGTTGACCGGCGGCGACCCCGCCGCTGGCCTTCAACGTTGAATGCCGGCGGCGACCTTGCATCGGTCGATGTCGAACGCGCGGACGGTTCGAAAACGGCCGATCGCCCAAGGTGGAACGATCCACGCCGTGTCGGAAACCAGCGTTGGGGTCGTCACGACACCGACACGAACCCGCACGTGCGTACACATCTCACGGGGGACTGGGCCCCAGGGGGCCCAGGGGCCCCAGGGGGCCCCGGGGGCCTCGACCGCCACGGGCTGATTTGCAGTTCTGGGCCCCAGATCGGCCCAGAAGGCCATCGTGCAGTCGTCCGGGCTGCCTCAGACCGCCCCAAAACGGGGGAGGAGGAGGGGAGGAGGCGGAGGGAGGAGGAGGAGGAGGGACGAGGAGGAGGAGAAGGGGGAGAGGGAGGAGGAGGAGGAGGAGGAGGAGGAGGAGGAGGAGGAGGAGGAAAAGGGGGAGGAGGAGGAGGAGGAGGAGGAGGAGAGGAGGGAGGAGAGGAGGAGGAGGAGGAGGAGGAGGAGGAGGAGAGGAAGAGGCGGTCACCCCCCAAAACGGTCTCCAGGGGTCTCAGGTGGCCCATGGGAGTCTCCAGACGCTTCAAGAGGTCCTCAAGACGGCTCCAGGGGGCCCCATGGGAACCCTCCAAGGCGCCTTCGAGAAGCCCAAATGCCTCAGACACATGGGGGAAGTCCATGCTTTTGTTCCTTCTTGCTTTCTCGCAACCGACAGAGAGCTGAGGCCTCAAGGTCGCTCCCAAGATGCCCCCATGAGGCTTTGGCTCAATCCATTTCGACTCAATCATCTCCAACTGCAGCAATTCGGCTCAGCCATTCTACTGAATGGCGAAGGGTAATTCTTCCCAATGCCACTGCAGCTGCCGTCGCTGGTGTTCGTTGCGTTTGGGTATATTTGCGCTGGCTGCCATTGCTGGTTTTGGGTTCCTATTCGGAACAGACTCAAGTGGCTTACGCTAGCCCGCCGACCCCCAGCGGAGTAGAGACGTCCAGGGCGTTCGGTAGGTTGTGTTGGAGCTGGAGCGGCTGTGTGTTTTTTCATGCCCGCGAAGGTGGTGGAGGAGGAGGAGGAGGAGGAGGAGGAGGAGGAGGAGGAGGAGGAGGAGGAGGAGGGGAGGAGGAGGAGGAGGAGGAGAAGGTGGCAGGGGCACTGGTTTCACGTTTCAGGCCGCTCTTCTCTTGAGCGGGTTTGGGACCTCCCAGGCTCCTTGTGTTCTGTTAGGGCCGTCTTGGGACTTTCTTGTGCCACCTTCGTTGGCCTCCTTGGACCATCTTGTGGCTTCTCTTTTTGGCCCCTGTTTGCGTTCTGTTTCAAGACCCTCCAGGACCTTGTTGAGGCCGCTGTTGGGCCGCCTTGGGGCGCTCGGCGTCTCGCTTTTAGAGCGTCTCGGGCCCATCTAGGAGCGCTCTAAGCTTTTTTTCGTAGAGCCATATCGAGCCGCCACTTGGCGCCATGCTTGCGCCCTCTTGGGACCTCCCGGAGGCTTCTCAGGGGTCCAGCTTGACGCTCTTCTGGAGCTTCGGGCCCTCTCGCAGCACTTCTCGGATCCATCCGGGCTCCACTTTTGTAGCTCTTCCCGAGCCATCCTCGGCCTTCGTCTGGGGCCTTCTCACGGCGCTTCTTCGGGCCGCCTCTGGCCTTAGCTTGACGCTTTTTTGAGAGCCTCTCCGGCCCTTTCTTCGGGCCTCTTCGGCGCGATCTTCGAGCCCTCTTGGGACGCCTCTTTGGGCCCTCCTGTGCTCCGTCCTGGGGACTCCGGGGCGCCCTCTCGGAGCCTCTCATCGGCCCCTTTAGCGGCCTCTTTCGGGCCGCTCTTGGAGGACTTGGAGGAGGAGGAGGAGGAGGAGGAGGAGGAGGCGGAGGGAGGGAGGGGGGGGAGGTGGGGAGGAGAAGGGATCGGATTGGGATGCTCTTCAGACCTCTCCTGGGCCCCTCGTGGAGCGCTCCTGGGATCTTCCTTCTTAGAGTGCTCTGTCGGTACTCGCCTCTGCTCGGTCCGCGATGGTTACTCTTAATCACTCCATTTTCGAAGCTTTTGTGGGTAATTTCTCACCCAGACCTCCTCGCGGTGTGAAAAAATCACGACGGGAGGTTTTTCACGATTTTCGGCCTCCCGGGACCCTTCCCAGGCCTCGGGACCATCAGAAATTACCCATGATGGAAAACCGGGAGTCCAGACCTTTTGGGGTCGACGTCGTGAGACAATCACGACGTCGGGGGTCTGGGCACGTTACATGTGCGCGTACGTACGCATGATGTGCACGCAGCTGCGAGATGGTCAAGGGCTGAAGCTTACTAGGACCTGAGCGCGCGCGAAGCGCGCGCGTGCTAGTGTAAATGTAAGCATGCCGACGCGCCGTAAATTCAGACACCTCCCTGCCTTGTGATCGTTTCTGACCTGTGACTGACCAGTGACAAGCAAGAACACGGAACGAGATGCGGTGAGGGGTCTCGCATGTCCAGATTTGTTTGGGGAGATCGTTCTTACGAAGCCAGCATTCGCCGGTGGAGGAGCGAAGATGGCTGCGCCAGCAGATGCCCGGAAGATCGTGAAGAAGCGCATGAAGAGGTTCCCTCGTTTCCAGGCTGCATATTGGTTTCGCCGCAGTTGCTTCAACCATCCATGATTTTCATGCGTTCCTCTTCCTGTCCCTCTCACATATCGCCTTCACTCTCCACATCTTTGCCGCAGCTCTGCTCATCACAGCCCGTTTTTCCATGCTTCTTTTTGCTGGTGTAACGCTATGAGCGAGCATACAGTTCCCTGCTTCTTCAGCACATTGCACGTTCGAGCTGGATAGTTGAGATTATAGGTGCTTCGAGCAGTTGTACGCAGTACCTCGGAGCCGTCCTCGTCTTCACTACTTACTCTTGGCGCATGACGTGCTCACGCTGCACCAAGTGGGGAACTTGCCTAACGAAACAACCATGGGGCGTAGCATTTGTAATTTATTTCTGGTCGGGCTGCACGCGTGTCCGTGTCCACGCGTGCGCGTGCCGATGCGTGTGTCCACGCATGCATGAATGCCTGCTCGATGCTTTCCTTTCACTTCTCCTCCTCGCCCTTGTGCGCGCGTGCTGGCAAGATGAAAAGTCGTATAATTGTTCATGTGCTAGTGCCAGTTTACATGAGTCGGCGTGGCAGCCGAACGCTTACAGAGCCAGCCTGCAACACGGGCGATCATATATCACAGCCTTGAGACTTTGTACCCATTTTTGTATGTTGGGGAGAGGCTTGCGAACCCGAGGGGACAGATGTTCCCATAGCTGTGTTGCTGCGATCCCTCACCGCAGGCAGACCGCTTCAAGAAGATGAACCAGTCCTGGCGCAAGCCCGTCGGCAGGGAGGGGTGGATTGCCAACCGGGTCCTCGACCAGGAGGAGGAGGAGGAGGAGGAAGAGGAGGAGGAGGAGGAGTGGGAGGAGGAGGAGGAGGAGGAGGAGGAGGTGGGAGTGGGAGGAGGAGGAGGAGGAGGAGGAGGAGGAGGAGGAGGAGGTGGGAGGAGGAGGAGGAGGAGGTGGTGGGAGGAGGAGAGGAGGAGGAGGAGGAGGAGGAGGAGGAGGAGGAGGAGGAGGAGGAGGAGCAGGTGGGAGGAGGTATGGCTGGCGTTTCACAGACAGCGTGCGATGTGGGGCCGCCTGTCCGCTGATTACACGCTATTCCCCACCTTGGGGACAGCGTGCAGGGGGGGAGCCCTGGCAGGGTGTGTGTTTTACCCTTCCTATCTGGCGCCCAGTTACTTTGAGCGGTGGATTTCTGGGGCCCTTGGGTGCCTCTTGAGCTTCCCCCGCGCCCTCTTCTGCCTTCCCTCGTCCTCCCTGCCGAGGTTCGCGGAGAGGATCGTGCACGGAAGGATGCCTCACATGGGGATCGCCTCTCCAGGATGGCGTGCATGGAGGAGGCCCTATGTCTGTGGATCACATGCTCTTCGGGAATCGGTGTTGCACGCTACCTCTGCGACGCCAACCGTAGTAGGCATAATGGGGGCAGGATGTAGGAGGAGGGAGTCGGATCATAATGTCGGGTGCAGGAGGATGGAGCAGACGATGATAATTTTGATGTTGATGTTGGTGTTTTGTTGTTGTTGCTGTTATTGTGGATGATGATGATGATGATGATGATGATGATGATGGTGGCGATGACGATGATGCCGATTATGATGTTGATGTGACTACTGGTGATGATGATGATGATGATGATGATGATGATGATGGCTGCGATCACGGTGATGATGCTGATGTTGTTGCTGCCGCTGTCCATGATGCTGCTGGTGATGATGACGACGACCATGATGACGATGATGACGATGACGATGATGATGATGATGATGATGATGATGATGATGATGATGATGATATTGATGTTGCCGATGATGATGCTGACGACGGTGATGATGCTTTGGATGATGATGCGGCTGATGATGTTGGTGATGGGGATGTTGCGAATGGTGGCGATTCTGATGATAATGATGTTGCAAATTATGGCGATGGTGCTGCTGCTGAAGATGACGATGGTGATTATGTTGATGGTGATTGTGATGACCACGATTATGTTATAGATGGCGATGGTGATGATGATGATGATAATGATGATGGTGGTGTTCCTGAAGCTGACCATGATGATGATGGTGGTGGTGGTGATGTGTATAAAGTTGGTGTTGATGAGTATGCGGATGATGAGGATGATGCTTATGATGATGTTGATGATGATGATGATGATGATGATGATGATGATGATGATGATGATGATGATGATGGTGGTGATAGTGATATTGATGATGCTGATGATGATGAGGATTAGGA